AGACCATTTAAACTCCACTGTTCACTGTTTCTCATTAGAACTTCATGAAATACCTCCTGAAGCCAGTCACTAGTGAACATATGTCAATTCATATCAGAAGAGGTTTTGTGGATATTATAGCAATTTCGTAGTTGAATTCATGAGTCAATTAAAGCTATACCACCATGAAAATCCTGAAAGCAGTAGACGGCCATTTCTTCTTATTGTAGGACTCCTCAGCAGGGCGTATTCACGATCTCACCTCGCGAGATTCGAACACAGGACCTATCATTTTACCATGGTTTCGCTTCAATTGACATTACTATACTATCCACAAAACCCTTTCTGCTATTTCTTTTTTATTCATACTAATAAAGAATTGTATTATATTGTTGTATTTTAATCTCTCTTTTTCTTAATGTTATTATTTGTTTATATCAATTAAAGGCGGCGTTCTATACTGGGACGAAACGACCATCCAGTGCTTACAGATTTTCAATGATGATCTAGCTTAGATCGACTTATGAAAATACAATTGTTTGTATTTTCATCTCCTTTTTTAATGTTAGTAATTGTTCAAATCAATTAAAGAATTAACATACACATATCTTGAGAAATATTGTAAATGGTATTTTGTTAAGAAAAGAAATATGTATACAATTTTATTTGTACAATTAACGAAATAAAAATCACATTCAAATTGAAGTATTTTAAATGAATTAACTTCAAAGCAATAAAAGAGAAGGAAAAAAACCATCTTTCAACTATTCATTTAAGTGTTTAAGTCTGTCTGTATAGAAAATGTAGAATGAAATGAATTCAGTTAGAATGGAAATTATATATATATTTCTTTAACGGTTTGAGTAGATTATAAAAATTACCATTCTAGTTTAAAAGTGTCCTTTTTTTTCTTTTTTTTGTTGTAAAAAGAAAAAAGACGGATCTAACAATGTTTACCAGTTAAATTCATTTTTCACTACAGAACGAGTGGTTGGATGAAGTAAGCTCTCTCTTTTGTTTTGTCTTTTGTTTTAGAATTAAATCTTATCATTTATTATTATGTAATTTAAATATAATTTGAAATAGAGATAGATTTAAATCTGAATTATCTAATAACTCTCCACAAAACCCATTCTGATAATGATAGGATAATATGAATATCGACCAAATCTTGTATATTGAAGCGAAATGAATTTCACTTTTTTTTGTTTTTTAGAGTTTTACAAATAAAGAACTCTTCAATCAGTAATTGTTTCTATATTAACTGTTTATTCATTTTCTAATTATAAATTCATTATAAAGCATATCTATACCTCATTTGCAATTACATATTGTAAAACTGTCTTACAATAATGCTTATTCATTTGTTATCCTATAATCTTTATTGAATATTTTATGCCTAAAATAAAACATGAGACAACAATGCTAAAATTTTGAACAAGAAAGTATACAAATGAAGATTTAACGTTAAATAGTTTTTTGTTCATTATATATGAATAAATTAATAGTTGAGTTCATGAGTTAACTGAAGCTGAACCACCATGGAAAACCTGGAAGCAATGGATGGCCCATTCGTCCCATTGTAAGACTCCTCAGCAGTGTGCATTCACGATCCCGTCGCGCGAGATTCAAACACAGAACATATCGGTCTCGCGGGCGAATGCTTAACTACTAGACCACTGAACCGACTGGCAAACAACGGTGTTAATATCAAACTCCAAACAATCCACGAACTTGAACCACCCTTTACCATTAAACTTGTCAATCTAAATCTGGACTGCGGGATCGTGGATGGACACTGCTGGGGGGTCCGACAATAAGACGAAACGGCCGTCTGTCGCTTGCAGGTTTTCAGTGGCGTTCTAACATATATGAATAACACTATCTATATAAAAATTGTGTTAACTTTTCCTTTTGAAATTTTTACTTGCAAAGTAAACTAGTTATAATTATTGTAAGTATAGTTGTGGAGGTTATTGAGTTTTGATTGAGATCTCGAGTCGATCAACGTTAGTCCACCATTGAAAACCTGGAAGCACTGACCGTCTGTTTCGTTCTAATTGTTTAATGGTTGAGCACTCGCATGAGAGACCGAAGACCATGGGTCCGAACCGAGACTGCAGGGTCGTGGATGTACACTACAGAATATCCCCATACTACAGCAAAATAACCAACCAGTACTCCCAGGTTTTCAGTGGTGGTCTAACATTGACAGATGCAATTATATTTATTTTGGGGTAAAAGGTAACTAACTCCATTATTATAGATGTCTGTATGAGGTAAATATTTTTACAACATAATATGGCGTTAAAGTAATGATTTAATCGTTATAATAATCTACCAACTAATCTTTTGCTGTATTTAAAAAAATAATGAACGAGAAATAATGTTTTGTCAGGCACTATTTTTAGGCTGAATAGTCTCTCAAATTAGATAAACTGACGTCACTGTAGACCTTATTTAAGCTTATTTGGCCGGTGATAACTATGAGGGCAGTTACTGCGGTTTCTTAAGTGACAACAGTTACTATACAGTGACAAAATCATACAGAAGAATAGTTGAATCCTGCGAAGTTATTAGGTAATATCTATGAGTGCTGTATGTGTTTGGATTTTTGATGCAGAAACAGTTCCAACCTAATTGTAAAGAAGCTGTTTAAAAGCATATGAAATGTAAAAATAGAATACAATTGTATACCTTCTGCATTATTAATTTCAGATGGCAAAAATTTGAAAAACTGTTGTTACTCATTTATATTACTAAATAACCGTTTTAGGGAACTTCTTTTTATGGAAACTTTCCTCATGGTTGATTCATGGTTGGAATTATTGTCAAGTTAAATACATGCAAAAAATATCTCTAATCTATTGTTCAAGTTATTATGTATCAAATAGCTTAGTACTAGTTAAATGTAGAAAAACAATAAAACATAAAAAAATAAGTTAACTTCGTTTTCCAAGAAGTCTTTTATCAAACAAAATGAGAACTATCAATGGAGCAATTTTCAGATGTCTCTTTTGGATATAGAACACCAGGTAAACATCACAAAAACTTTTGAAGTTTTTTGAAACTATTGCGTAAAATCAAGAGAAACCTAATTTATGAGTTCTAAAAGAAAGTTGGTAATCAGTATTTATCTTGATAACATACATTTCATTTTATCACATTATAATTCTTTAGATATTTTTGTTCGTGTCAAACTACTTTATCACGTCTTTTTTCGACGTTATTTTATTTCACTAATTTTTTGCATTTTTAACTAACTGAAATTTTATCAGAAGAGGTTTGTGGAGATTTTAGAAATTTCACAGATTGAAATAATGAGTCAATTGAAGCTAGACCACCATGGAAAATCTGGAAGCACTGGACGGCCGTTTCGTCCTAGTAACACCATTGGATGCCAGCTCAGTGGTCTAGTTGGTTAAGCGCCTGGCGCGAGACTGATAGGTCCTGGATTCGAATCTCGCGGGGTGCGGGATCGTAGATGCTCACTGATAAGGAGTCCCATACTGGGACGAAACAGCCGTCCAGTGCTTCCGGGTTTTCCATGGTGGTCTAGCTTCAATTGACTCATTATTTCAATCTGTGAAATTTCTAAAATCTCCACAAACCTCTTCTGATAATAACCATCTGCTCACTAGTGACTGACTTCAAGAAAAACTCCTGGAGTTCTAGTGAGAAGCCATTACCAGTGGAGTTCAACCAGGTTTGTTGTGAGATATCAGCTCACTGAAGACAATGGTGTACGGAGGTGCAACTTCGTGGATTGGTTAAATTTAGACATTGACACCATTGGATGCCGGCTCAGTGGTCTAACTGAAATTTGCTTACTTTGATTTAGATTCCTATCTTATCACTGATATGGTCTTTAACGCTACACAAGTAGCATTTTATTCCTTTAGTATTATTAAATATTTCAGAATTTTCTTTTATTCTTAAAATATATACGAAGTATTTATATTCAGTTTTTTCATGTTTATCTTATTTTTACTATTCCATGTTAAATAATGGTTACATTAAATTCTAAACAAATTTATTTCTTCAGGTATCTTTACCATAGTTTTGTGTATTTTAGATTTGAAATACAACCAAATGTAAGCTAATAATGAGAAGTTATTAGAATGGGGGTTAGTGGAGATTTTAGTAATTAGAAGTCGAATTCATGAGTCGAGCTGGCTTAGTGATCTGGAGGTTGAGCGTTTGCGTGCAACACCGAAGGTCCTGTGTTCGGGTCTCGCCTGTGAGTTTGTGAATGCGTACTGAAGAAGAGTCTCATACTAGGACTGATATGATGCAAATGAAAGTCAATTTTTGATTGATTTATTGATTATGAGTTTTGTTCAACATTACTTCCATTTTTATTGAATGTGATGGTTATTCAGTGTAGTAGTTGTTTTCTCGTATGATATTTTATTCCGTCTAATATACGATATTCTTGTATTCAATGGATATCAACTATGCTTGCTACGTGATTTGTAATAATTTTAAGTAATTTTTATATATGTGATTTCATTCTAATTATTAATCAAAGTGTGTGTACAATCAATATATAAACGAGTGTATTCTTGACTATCGTCATCGTCGTCGTGTTCTGGGGTTAATAAATCTTCACTTATACCAGTCTTGTATCCTTACATTCGCGTCGTGGGAATCGCGGAGGTCCCACGTTCTGAGTATAAGTGATAAGCGTTTCCGAAACAACAATCAACAACGAACAGATATAAAAAGTAGTGTTCAACTGACAAGTTATAACAAGGACGAAACGGACATCCATTACTTCCAGGTTTTCATTGGTGGTCTAGCTTAAATCGACTCATGAATGTGAATTTACAAAGTAAAAAAATTCATGTTACGCTTAACTAATTGTTTCTGTTCTCCGTAAGATGAATAAAGAGAACTGTGTATGAAATTCATTCAACCGTCTAAATTATTTATTATTTGAAGTTATTTTTTTTATTTCACTTAAATTACTTATGAATCATTTAAAAAAATTCACAGGTTACATATGTTTATCAACTCACAATCTGATGTCTGTAGACAAATTCGTTCACTGTATTGACTTTCACCAGCTTGATTGTGTGCTTTAACGCGTGCACGGTAGACGGAACGAAAGTGTAAACCTTCGACAGTGCACATTGTTTCAACACCTCGATAAACTTTCTAAATATGAATAAAAGTAATTTTAAAAAATATGTAAATTATGAAAATCTCGTTAAAGAATTTGTAGTAATTATGCGTATGATTTCATAATCACACTATTTAACGGTTCGTTAATTCGGAAATAATTACGAAAATCGGTTTACTTGAATTTCAATTAATGATTAGTGAGTTATACAACTAAATTCAATGACTAGTCAATAATTTCAGGAATTTAACATTTCTAATATATCAGTATGAAACAAAGTTAGAAATCATTAGGAACGCTTTATAGGTTGCTGATTTAGATGGTTACAAATTATAAAACACTTAACTAATGTCATCTACATAATCGTTACTCACATTTCACAGGTTAAATATATCCTTAAAATTCAAAACAGTTAAACTCCTGAAAACAAAGACAAACAGTTGTTTAGAATATTATGGTTTGATTAAATGTTTGTAGAGCAAGTGAAAACTATTTCAAAGATATAAGTTTTGAATAGTTTGCTTGAAATGTATATCATCTAACTTTTTTACTTTTAATCACTTATCAGTAAATTCGGTTGAAGATTATATATCCCCTGCTGTTCGAGTAATTCTGTGAAACACCATGTACATATTATCTAAATAATCCATTGATAACTGTAAAGTCTGAAGGAATACCATTTAGACAACGGATATTTAAAACAAACGAATTGTTAAGAATAAACATAATTTTAGTAAGAAACGTTGCGAAACACTAAAACACATAATTTACTTCAGTTGCACACCTATCTTGTACTTCCCATTTGAGTATTAGCTAAGAAAAATATAATTTATGGCAATTATCTTGTGAAATACTTCAAATTGCAATGTTCTTTCTAGTTATGTTTATTAAGTTTTAAGAGCCGGTCAGTTCACATATTTCTGATATCAATTGAAAGTAATCTAATAACTTATTACAATGATCTGTTACTAAAAGATTGTTGAAAACAAAGTGATAACATTTTAATGAGAATAGAAATGAATTATTCGATATTACTTTCTAAATCCTTCTCAATATTTTTTATTGTAGTGGTAACAACTACCAAGAAATTCGATTGTTATCGAACACATAGTGAATATCAACGGTTGAGATCATGAGTCAATTGAAGTTAGACCATCATGGAAAACATGGAAGAAATGGACGGCCCTTTCGTTCTATTGTGGGACTCCTCAGCAGTGCACATTCATGATCCCGCATCTCGAGATTCGAACACAGGACATAACGGTCTCATGCACTAATGCTTAACTTCCAGATCACTGAGACGACCGGCATCCAACAGTCTCAATGTCTAACTTCAACTAATCCACAAAATTGAGGGACACATCCATTATTGTCTTCAGTGAGTTACTATCTCACAACAGACCCAGTTGAACTCCACTGTTCACTGTTTCTCACTAGAACTTCATGAAATACCTCTTGAAGCCAGTCACTAATGAACATATATCAATTCATATCAGAAGGGGTTTTTACATATATTATAGTAGGTCCTGTGTTCGAATCTCATGAGACGAGATCGTGGATGCTCACTGATGAAGAGTCCCACATTAAGACAAAACCCTGTCTAGTGCTCCCAGGTTTTCCATGGTGGTCTAGCCTCAATCGACTCATGATCTCAATCATTGAAATTACTATAATTTCCACAACAGCCCTTCTGACATAGTAAATGGTCAAGTTTTTTTTAAAAAGGTGGGATTAGAATTATTCACATAAATGAGAGAAAAATTTTTTTCTGTGTTTACTACTAAATAGCTAACTTTGCCCATGGGCGTGAAATGCATAATACATCTATGAATATGTGTACATATTTTTAAAGATACATGTTCATATACAAAAAAAGAAATATTAACATAGATTCAAGATATCAACAAATTTACAAAATTGGATTTTTATCCCAACGATAATAACTATTGTTATGATAATTTAAAAAAAATTATTCGAACCTTTCTTCCCCCTCATGTTCATATTATTAGATTGAGTTTTATGATAAATATGCCTGTATTTTTAGAATTCTTTTATATTCCTTTTATGATTATTTAACTTAATTCCTAAGTTTGGAGATAAGTATATCTGAAGATAAAAAGATATTCAAATCACATTATTTAATTATTCTTATAAAAATCTAACAAATACATGATATTTCCATTTGTATTGGTTCTTGTTGATGTTATGAAGTGCAGTTGATCAGTATCTTTAAGCATATGAATAATCTGTGCAGACTAACTCGATGTTAACATTAAGTTGTAAGCATTTTAATCAGATTTGGATTATGGAAAGCAGCGAAGTCTATATTCCCTTCTATTTGGGACTCATTAGTTGGATATCCCTGCACTGCAGTGTTGATGTTCGCACCAGGTTTTAGACGAAGTATCTTCTGCTTCAAACATCTGACACGTTATCCATTTAGCTACTGAGTCCAAAAAGCCACCGGTTTGTACAATGGGGTAAATTTTAACCCATCGGTTTTAGTTATTTAAATTTTTCTATTGATTTTATGGTTAGCTGTTAACCGAAATGACATCGTTACTTTATAATGAGGTGGCAAACCTAGATTTTTATTAGAATGCTTATGAATACAGCAAATGAAAAAATAATCCAATTTTTGGAACTAATTGACCAGCGTACACAAATTTATCTATAAAGTAACTAGACAAGTTCGTCTGTTTTTCTGAACATCACATTTCTTGGTTTAGCAAAAAAACAGGAAAAAGGTTTTAATCGACAGAAGTGACAAAATTAAAATGATGATAACTTTTGAAGTTATTTACCACTGGTTAAGTAATAGTGAACCTAGACGCAGGGTATTAGGGAATGATGGTAAATCAGTTGATGAGGTTGTGAATCTTCATCGACTAAAATGGTTGGGCCACGTGTTAGGTATGCCTGAATAACAATTACCACGACGTGCAATGCTGACAAGTGTTGGAGACGGTTGGAATAAAGTTAGGGGTGGCCAAACCAAACTGTGGCACCAGTCCTTGAAGTCACTAAATTCTAGTCTGAGCCATGTTGGTATATGCAGACTACTTGGTTGGGGTTCGCGTGACTATCGTAACCAATGGCTGGAGACTCTTGGTGACATGGCTCAGAATCGATCACAGTGGCGTCGATGTATACACTATCTGTCTTCCTTTAAACTAACAGATTAAGATCGCCTCATATTTTTTTCTACAAACTTATTCTTTCTTCCAGTACTATATCCTTATACGCAGTCTTTCTTTTATACATTACGACTATTGAAGTGACTACTAAAAATTTGTTATTCATCTTGATGTGTTAATGAGGTTCGGCAACTTGGACCAATGCATGTATGTGCCTGGTCCTACGTTATAGTTGACTGACTAACTGAGATATCACTCAACTTAGCCCATTCTTCAAGATTTTATTTTTGCCATACAACATAGGCCACAGGAATCCATAAACATAAGCTTGATCATTAGGTCTAAAATAATCAATAAGATTTAATAGTTGAATTCATAGGTCATTTGAAGCTAGACCACCACTGAACACCTTGAAGCACCTGGATGCGCACTGCTGGGGAGTTTCGCACTAGGCTGAAACGGCCGTCCAAAAACCAGTACTTCCAGGTTTTACATGGTGGCCTAGTTACAACTGACTCATAAATTCAACTACTAAATTGCTAAAATCTCCACAAAGCTCTCTTCTGATGATAACTGAAATTTATTAGTAACATTGAACAGAACAATCATAAATGTAACTGGTAGAAAAACTTTGTAGTACATTTTATTTAATAGATTAATTCGTCAGTTGGTTTCATATAGTAAGCTGGTGATTATCAAATAAAGTTTTATTTCTTCATTTACTATGTTCTCAGTGTTTTATAAGCAGCTTAAGTAAAATATGGTATCGGTTAGATTCATCAAATTTTTAAATAAATATTGAGGGTGTATACATGGTAACAGTAAAATTTTAAATACTAACCGTAATCCATTCAGTACTTTGGTATTTTAAACTAAGATACTGATAATCGTTAATATGCATAGCTTATTCAATAAATACAGAAACTGATTTACTGAAGTTATTGATCAAACTTAATGAAAATGTTCATGAAATTTATGGAACATTTGAAGCAATTTATAAAGATAGTTCAATAACAGAAGCAACTCATTTTAAGTAAGACAGACATTTAATTCAATGCGGTAAAGACTGGAAAAATTACGAGAAGCTACCATATTTCAACATTTCAAATTTTATTGTGTCCGCGTCAAATATTATGAAAACTATCTGTTCGTACTGTTTTTATTTATTTAGTATGTATTCAAACCACCTGAGAGTATAAAGGTTAAAGGCTGAACTGTTCATAGAATTAATATAAAAAATCTCACATCTTTATCCGGATGATTTTGTGAAAGTCGTTAGAAGTATTCATTTAAAAGTAATTTTAATCATGGTGTGATATCAGTTGAAGATCCACTAAGAATCAACGAATACCATAAAGTGTTCTAACAAAATCCCATGCTTGTATCAAACAAGCATTGCAAATTGATTTAAGTTAGACTTGTACGCCATTTAGTCACAGCTCTGTTGTCCAGTTGTCAAGCGTTCTCTCGCAAGGTCGAAAGTCCTGGTTATAAGGACATGAATGCATACTACTGAAGAGTTTCATGATAAGACAAAACGGCTGTTCACTACTTCTAGATTCTTAATTATTGTCTGATTTAAATCAGTTTGTGATTTCAATAGAATTAGAAAGTGTTGAAAATGAGCATTTACACGTTTTATCATACAATTTTCCAAATCCTACATGTCAGACGATAAAGGACTCTTTATAGATTTGTTGTGAGCTACTTATAAGGTATATCCAACAAAATCATTCACAACTTTAATTTTAAACTCAATCATAGATTTTCCTTCTAAAATGATCAATTATTCATACATGACAAATTAGTTCCTACCGTTTCCAAGAAGTCAATATTTTAAACTGACTAAACTTATCAGCTTATATATAGCTTATGCAAAAGTAGAGAAATACAACAAACTTATAATCTATTCAGCATATATTATTCTTGTTTCATCGTAATTTGAAAATCTACAATAATTTTCATTGTCATGAACTTTGAGGAGAATGACTAACTGAACTGATGAAGTAAACTTGATAGAATTTTAAGATATGTTTCAATTTACCATCTAAATAGATTTTAAGTAACATCACTAACTGTAGAGTCTACAAACTGAACTGTATATCTCAAAAAACTAGTCAAGTATATCTGTAGATCTACTTTCACGTTTGACAATATTTATTAAGAATAATTTATTACTCATATCCATGAAATAGTCCACTAAAATGATATTCAACATCTAAAGCAGATTGTTATAAAAAGTAGTGTTATGATGATATAATGATCCTTATAGAATTCATCAACTTTAAATATTATATAACAAACTAGACACAGTCTCCCTATTAACATTATTGGCCTTAAACTATTTTCCATTAACAAAAATTCGCTAATGTCTGGAGAATATAAACAACATTGACTCGTTAACGTGAAGAATTTGTTTTGATTTATTAGACTTATTGAAGCTACACGCTTGATTTACTTTTTTCTGTCAATCAAGATATATATATATATATATAATCAGTTTAACAAACTAATCAAACGTAAACCTCTTCCTTTTCCTAAAAAACAACTCATCTTTCTTAGCTTCCCTTTTGTTGAATGTTAATAGTGAGATTTGGTTGTTTCTATCATATAAATTCAGATAACCCTAATATCATTTTATATTAAAATTAATGTTATTTTGAAAAATAGTTATTCAAAGTTTAATCAAGTAATGATGTCGTAGTAATGGGGAAATTCTGCTCTTTTGTTTATACATTGATATGTTAGACGTTTAAAATGAAAAGATTCTACAAGCTGAACATTCATAGGTTCATTTGGCTAGTTATATATATATAACCACAACTGATTGATCACTGGGTGATGATCAATGTCATGTGTGTCAAGTCCTTATTTAGTGCAGATCGAATGCTATCGACCATGTTGCAATGTGGCCACCAGTCTAGGTGACTCGACACTGCGTGCACTATATATTGAGATTAGATGGTGGTTGGAGGTAGTCGACAGGAAACTCTGGACCCGGGTTTCGTGCCACTTGGCAATCGTCATCAAGGTGTACCTGTAATCTTGAGGGAACTGGTGCTCCCTGGTGGATTCAATCCTGTCGTCGATGGCATTCGATCTGCACTAAATAAGGACTTGAAACACATAACATTGATCACCATCCAGTGATCAACCAATTGTGATTACATCTCAGTCCTAGAGGAGGTCGGTCGCGGCCCGGAGAGCTCAGTGGTAACGTCTCTGGCTGTGAAGCTGCATGACACGGGATCGAATCCGCCAGGGAGCACCAGTTCCCTCAAGATTACAGGTACACCTTCATGACGAGTGCCAAGTAACACGAAACCCGGATCCAGGGTTCCCTGTCGACTACCTCTAACCACCATCTAATCTCAATATATATAACAAATAATCTCAGAATTCTGTAGGACTGGAGTATTTAAATACTGATGCTGTTCAAAGACCTTACTGAATATTTTTTACCACCGATATTTCATAATCTCAGGTTATATCTGTCCCTTTCTAAAAATGATAAGAAAAAAAATCATGTGTCAAATATGAATAGATGTAAAAATTGAATGACCTAAGCACTGATCCGTAAATAACGGAAATGTTTCTAACTAATGGTTTACGTAATGAATAAAGAATAAGAATTATCTAACAGATCTAATCAAGTTCTTTAATATCTACTTTTCATTCATGATTTCAATAAATTTAACATTCGTCCAAATATGCAACTTGTTTAAATTCCCACCGCATTTTATTTCATTTTCTTTTCTGAAGTATTTTATAAAGATGTTCTGTAAACTTATAAACATAAATCAAGTACTAAACTCTTTCCACAATTATATTGAATATACATAAGGATTTGAACAACATTGTTTTCAGTTAGTTATGCATCATTGTGATAACATAGATTGATATGACAACATAGGAAGTAGTTTTGAACTTGTAAAAAAACATATATTAAAATTGCTGTTAAAAAATTTAACATATTTAAGGGTGTGGTTTATGTTCATTTCTTCTATGTGATAATGGTAATAAATAAAATAATATATTTGTAATGATCGAATGAGTAGAAAAATTAATTTTTCTGAAGTTTTTTTGACTCCGTATAAGCCACTTCTTCAAAGAATAAATGACCAAATCATGTTGGATTAATTTTGATTTGGTTGTTTATTCTCTGAAGAAGTGGCTTATGTGAAGTCACGCAACTTCAGAACATCTAATTTTTTTACTCATTGGGTTATTATAAATATAATAATTTATTGCCGTTATCACATAGAAGAGATGACGATAAACGTCAAATCAAACCTCGATAATGATACTTGATAATGGCAATGTTTAGTCATTAAAAATAACATATTAGTTTAGCTGTTTCTACATATATCAGAAATGTTGATTAATAAACAGTCTATTAAAATAAAACTGTTGGGCTCATCATTGTAAAATGTAATATTTACTACATTTTCTTCAGTCCTTATTTAAGCAATCAACATTTTAGCTAGAGTTGGTCATGTGATCTAGTGGTCATAAGGGTTTCATTTAAAAATGAATTTACACAAAAGCCATCATTTATGTTTTATGATTGTTATTACTAAATTATAACTGATAAATAACTACATATAATATAAAAAAATTAAACCAAATGGGACGTTAGAAATACAAAAATGATGAATGTTAGAAGAAACTTAAAAGAAACTTAATTCAACAAATTAGAAGTCCTTGTTTTGGGTGACCTCATTTAGTAGAGCTTAAGTAGTTATCTGTTTACCACCGAAATGAATAATAGTTTAAAAAAGAAAACAATTCCTGGAAAAAACGATATACTATAAACTAACCCTGAAAGTTCCACCTGCTCCATCATCCAATTCAAGTGTGTAACGATCAATCGGAATAGACGATGTGGGTTGCCACACAAGAGTAATAACATTACGCTCTGAAATGCATTCTTCTATAAGAAACGCTGGTGGAGCTGGAGCTAGAAAAATAATAACAATATTTTGAAAAATAAGTGTTTGGACAGATATTATTTTGACATATTTTTCATTAAAGATTATGAATTGATAAACGATTCAGAATATTATTGATATTATGAACTAATCTAAACTAGATAACCGGTGGACACAAGGAGACAGTGTACAGCTTTCGCGGCCACAGTAATGTACATCCATATTCTCGTCACTGGGGATCAAACTCAGGACCTTCGGTCTCTAGCACAGACGCTTAAATTCTAGACTACTGAGCCAGGATCTAGTAAACAAGAACTTTCGTCTAAATTTGAACGAATAGTTTCACAAAACTTTGGCGCCGAGTTAATATGAAACCTTTAAAGAGGAAGAATGTATTTGTAAAATCTCAGCGAAAGAATTTGAAGTAAATCAAATGTTTCGCCTGGCACTCTGGTCCAAGCTTTTGCTGAGATTTTACAAATACATTCTTCCTCTTTAACGTTCTACACTGATAATTTAGAATTCATTAATAGATAAAAAGCAGCGATACAGGCTCAGTATAGAGAATTTGATTTCAGTTTTCCAAGTTTATGAGAGATTGTTCATAGAGGTTTTGTCAGTAAATGAACCGTTTACTTTAACTTCACATTAAAGGTTGTACCTATAAAGATTGTGAATTTTATGGGGCTGTAAGCAAATAATATAATTAGTTTCCATTAGATTTTGTACTAGTTAGTAAATTTCATCATAGTATATCCCGATTCTTGAATTTACCGATACCCTAGATAGGATTTGAACTCACACTAACTAATCTCTGAGTAGTAAACATCAATCTAAAAAAGCGAAGTATACCATGTTACATATGAGGTAGTTTGACATATGAAACTCAAGTCGACATTTTTTCTAAGGAGCTTAAGTTTAAGCTTACAATTACTTTTATTGCTTTTTTATAAAAACTATCATTTTTCGATTTATATAATCCTTTTTCAACCCTCTATACAAAATAAAAATTATGTGTTCTAGATATAGATCCGCCCCTGATAATCAGTAATCTATTTTGATCTGGAGGAAAAGTGTAAAAAGTCTTATTGATTTCATATAATTTTAACTCTGTCCCCTTACTAATAATTACTCCATATTAAATTACATTCACTAGTTTTCAAACATAAATGAGTTAATTTGTATACATTGAAATATCTTGTTAAAAAAAGTAGTTCTCAAATACATGACATTTTTGTATTCAGATCGATTCCTTTTTGTCACTAAACAAACAAAAAATTCAATTCACTTGGTGTTGTTTCACTTTTATCTTCCCATTATGAATTATGACTGCAGCTGATCAGACTCATGTTGGCATATGTGCATCCTGTGCTGATTATCTCGATATAGCCTTAAGTCACAAGCTTTTTAAGCAAATATGGATAGTGGCTAGCAATGAAATCCAGGACGCGAGTTTAGTACTATTTGAGACTCGTCATCTGGATACAAGTAAAACAACACCAAGTGAACTTAAATATCACCCCATTGCACAAGCAGGTGGCTATCAGGACTCAGTAGCTAAGTGGGGAACGTGATGGCGTTTGAAGTGAACGGTACTGGGTTCGAGTCTCAAAGTGAGCATCAACTCTGAGGTACAGGTACATCAAGATGACGAGTCCTAAATAGGACAAAACTCGCGTTCTGGATTTCACTGTTAGCCACTATCCATCTTTGCTTAAAATTAAAAAAAAACAAATTTGATTAATTTATAACCACTCAATAATCTAAATCATTTAAATCATTATTTGATTTAACCACCCACTATTGATGAAAATATGATATAATTATATATATATATATATATATATATATATATATATATATATATATATATATATATATATATATATATATATATATATATATATATATATATATATATATATATATATATAGGGAAATCTTGTCAACTAGGAAATTGAACTTAATTACATTGTATGAATGTTATTGAAATTAAAAACCCTAAGTTAGATTAGATCAAGTTCTCGTGAAATCATGATTAGGAAATTTATGTAATGTTTCAAAATTTGTTATCTTATTTATTTAGCTTTGTATGTATACACAAAATTCATTCCATTCACTATAATCTGATGAAATAGAATACAATGAAAATCAATGAGATTTGAGAATCATTTTTATGATAATTTAACAGGACTCAATTCTAAATTCACTTGATATTGTTTACTTGGATCTTCTCATTGACATTTAGGACTGTGATTGACTAGCCACTTATTGACTTATGTGCATACTGTGCGTATTTCCTCGATATTGCCTTAATTCATAATCATTATAAGTAAATAGGATGAAATGCGCGTCCTGGATTCCACTGCTAGCCACTATCCAACTTTGCTTATAACTCAATTCTGTCTTTGCTAATCAAACCTATGCATTTACATCTTTAGAGTAATCACAGTAAGCAGGAGAGTGTATAAATAGTTGATAGAAAGTAATTCATAATCAATTTGAGTAAGTTTAGCTAGTAAATGAATCAATCTTTCATTTATTAAGCGAGTATTAACTTACTTGATGTAATTTTTAGCATCCCTTAATGATGAATTATTCCTTCTCACATTTACTGACTCATAATAATGCTTACCATATTCTTAAAAATTTTCTAATAATAAATACAGACATCTACAAAGCTTGCAACAAAGAAATAATTCACAATTTGACTCCTGATGAATCAAATCTAACTCAAATTATTACAACTTGATGAAATTACACAATAATTATTTATATGATATTAAAACGGAAAAAAATAGTTTTATTTTCATGTCTCTTATTATAATTTTTACAAGTGATAAATAAGACAACTGATGAAACCACTCTATATAATCTTAACTGCTTAAATTAAATAGAAATTAGAATCTTATTCATAAAATAAGAGGATTAAGTAGATAATTACAAACATAGAATACTAGATCATCCAAATCACTCTATTTTTTCATATAAAATTTATCATACTACTCAAAAAAGGTTTTACTCTGTTATTATTATTAACATTATCTTTGTAGGTGGTGGTACTGACAACTGAAACGAGTAAATGATTACAACGTCGATCAATATCTCAAAAGCGTTACTGACAAGCCAAATACAAAAATTGTGTATACAACGAACACAGCTTCAAATCTCAGGACTATATATATATATATATATATATATATATATATATATATATATGTATATATATATATCAAAGATAATTACATAAAACATACCATCGTTAATTTTTTGATTGATAAGTTGAAAATATTCAGTTCTTTTTGTATCTAGAAACAAGAACAAAAAAATAAATAAATAAGGGGGACAACATCAATCAAATATGAGAAAAATTTAGTTTTATTACGAAAACATTTCACGTGTTTGTGTGTATTTTATGGTGAGTATAACATATACTTGGTATAGTTTCTATTTTAATGAGATATGAATTGATTTGTCCACTGTTTTATATCTAGATAAAGGACTAACTGAAGACAACAACAAAAATTCTATTTCTTTTTTTCTCTCGCTCTCCCTTCCTCTTCTTTATTTTCTTATAATTCGTATGTTCAATTGTTTTTGATGAGTAGAATGAATATTCTTTTCAATATGTTCAATAAATTACATATGAATTTGTTATTTTTATGTTGTCTAAAATAAAAAACAATGCTGGATTAATTCAGATAATCCAACTTCAATTTTCTCAAATATAAACTACTTACCACTGTATATGTTTTGTCTTTTATCGTATAATTTTGAAAGTTGAGATCATTTTTCAATTGAAGTTAGACCACTATGAAAAACATGGAAGCAGTGGACGGCCGTTTCGTCCCGGTATAGAACTCATCAGTCGTGCATACTCACGATCCCGCCCCCCTCCGAGATTGGAACACAGAACATGTCGGTCTCATGCGCGAACGCTTAACCTACAGACCACTGAGCCGAACGGCATCCAACAGTACAATGTCTAACTTCAAGCAATTTACGAAATCGAAGGACACATCCACCATTGTTTTCAATGAGTTACTATCTCACAACAAACCCAGTTGAACTCCACTATTCACTGCTTTTCACTAGAACTTCATGAAATACCTCTTGAAGCCAGTCACTAGTGAACATATGTTGATTGACATGAAAGGGGTTTTTGTAGATATTATAGTTCTTCCAGGTTTTCCATGATGGTCTACTTACAATCGATTCATTATCTAAACTATTAAAATTACTATAATATCCACAAAACCCCTTCTTTTATTGTATAGTTTGAAATTATTTATTTCGTGAAATGATATTAATATATGAAACGTTGGTGATTAGCAAACCTGATTAAAATTACATAATTATCAGCACAAAATATGCCAAATCTCAATACTATTTTGAATATTTCTAAAATACGTGCGTATTTAACTTTGAACAAAGATTAGTTATTATTCATATTCATCTGTTTACTTTTAAATTCAGTTTTGCTCTTATGACGCATTTTTGCATCACTAAATATATTTGGTGCATTGATTTTATGACAATCATTGTTATTTCATATAACAGAGAGAAGAACGACATTTGACCCACTGTAATGGTACTTCTACGTTTTTTAAGTAATTAAATTTATAATAGGTTGGAAACATTTTCTATGAGCGCGCAAATAGACTGAACTGACTGACATAATAAGCGAATAAAAACAAGTTTTTAATTGAGCAAATTGATAACAACAAATGCCAGTTTGAAAAAATGGTACTTATTAGTTCTAGAAAGCCAGAGTGTATTTGGGTTAAGACTATCTATACTTAAGAATAATTTCAATATACATATAAACGTAGTGGTAAATTAGTCCAACTTGATTATCCGTTTTCAGAAAATCATCATATCATTTCATTGAATGGTCACAACGGGTCTAAATAGACTAGTTGAGAGCAAAGAGGGTGTTATCAAATGACGGTCACTACAATTAGCAACAAGGTTAAAGCTAAAAAAACACTACTTAGTTGAATAAAACCAAAGTCCAATATAGACTCATTCTTACTATGAGATTTAAAGGTGTCGAATTCTACTTTAGATTGAATAGTCTTTAAATATACTAATACTTCTAAACTAAAACGGTGTCATATGTTTGGGAATTTGTTAAGAAATCTCCAGTATTTTTTAAATAACCTAAATAAAATATGTACTGTGTTAAAATGATGCCACATATATTATATGCATTTTGATGAATTTTGAAATCGCGAGTCGATCTAAGCTAGATCATCATTGAAAACTTGAAAGTACTGGACAGCCATTTAATCGAAGTATGGGACTGCTGAAAATTGCACATCCACGATCTTGCACGTAGAAACCGAACTCAGGGCCTCGAATCTTAAAAGCAAATGCTTAACCTTTCGACATTTTGGCCGTCATCCATCGGTAACGATGTTTAACTTCAATCCATTCATTATCTTGTTCAACCCTTGATCCATCATCTGCGATGGATAACTATCTCGTTTGCAAAAATACTACAATTCTCACGAATTCTCTATATAGAATCTCAAATCACATAACATATTTATTTGTCACTTCAGACAATAAAACCCTAAAGGATCAGAAACATCTGAGAGCTCACTATTTGAAAATAAATTCTAGACGAAAAATTCATAGATTTTAAAGGTTTGGTACCAAACTATTAAAAGTAGTTATGAAATTGTACATGCATACATACATATATACATACATCATATTTACACTGATTGATCATAATACCTTTAGGATTTGTACTCTTTGTGATCTACTATCATGATTAAAGATAACACAAATGAAATATCATGTCTCGCTAGAATATATCTTATTTCTAATCCAGGAAAAGAAAATATAAAGAATTATATTAATTGCTATTGATTTTATGTAATGCAGATAGTTCAGATCAAACTAAAAACACCCTAAACTTTAAACGTAAGAAATCTTGTGTGTACAGTAAACAGAATGTTCTTTTTGAAGAAGAAGAATTTACAGGTATATTGTAATAAGTTTCTATACTAACTCATCTTAATATACTACTTGTATTTTCCATTATTCAGTTAAAACTTCATCATATATTTAAAGTTATTAAATAAAAATCAAATGCATTTTGATCCTCTATGTGACTTTTAAAACTTGTTATAATTATTTGTAACTTGATGAATGAGTATTTAGTGTAGTTAGTTGTAATAACTTTATCCACCTTATAAAATGAATAGTCAGTAAAGTGTGTTATAGTTTGTTTTACTGATATGAAAATTTAATCAGAATGGGGTTTGTAGAAGTTGTAATAAATTACTAATTGAATTTGAGTCATTTGAAGCTAGACCACCATGGAAAACTTGGAAGCACTGGACTGATAGGTTTTGAGTTCGAATCTCGCGGGGCCATATCGTGGATGTATACTGTTAAGGAGTCGCTTACTAGGATGAAACGGCCGTTCAGTGCTTCCAGATTTTCTATGGCGGTCTAGCTTCAATTGACTCATGAATTCAATTATTTAATAAAACGTTAATAAAATATCGTTTGTTTCAAAAAGTTTACAATATTCATATTTGCTAATAAAGAAATAGTATGATACAGCAATACTCATTTATACAGTTTCAAATTTCTCTGAAAACATCTTTAATATTTAACATTGTCAATATAACTTGCAAACGTACACAAAAACTAGGATCACAGCATTTTGCCTGATTGCCAATAAATCACATTTGTTTAAGCATAGGTCACCTAAAAGTCGTTTCATGTGGTATAATGGTTGCAATTCAACTTGATTAACTGAATCAAACCATTATTAAGAAATAAACAATTTATCATTGGTTACCAATCATTGAACAATCAATATATGTGAAATTTACATAACTGAAATAATCACATTAAACATACAAGTAATATCTTTCTGAGGCTTAGATACATTATAGTAAATATCAAAGGAGCTTCATTTTAAAATTATTAAGCCAGTCCCTTATATCATTACTCGCATATGTATAGACAAAATATTGAATATTGCCCATTGAAATGAATATATACTTCATGTTATATTATCAGTACATGAACTAATAAACAAAAGATAAACTGGGCGTGGTTTAAAAACTTTATAACAATACTGTAATATTGATTGTTTCATATAGCACTAATAATATCTTAGGGATACTTAAATGTAGTTAGAATTTCGCTCAAGGAAATAATACTATATTTTGAAATTTACATGAGTTTAATTTTGAATTTCAATACTAGTAGAAATCGTAAAAATGATAATATCAGCAACAATAAAGATCAGAATATTGGCTTGTATTATTCTCAAGTTGCTAAGCAACTTTTCTGGCAACCACTACTGTCCTTACTTATTTGTACAATTTCCCCTTCTCAGTATTACGGTATAGCCGTATAAATATATATATATATATATATAAATTGGAATAAATTAGAAATTAATTATTGTCTCCATTGTTCTGAGACAGGGTTTCACTATTTTGATTCCCATCTGCCGAAAAAAATTACAATATAGTAAGCCACTATGTAGTTAAATATGATCACTGGAAAATGAGTTAGTGTGAAGTTACATGTTATTCTGTAGACAGTATACACCATTTTTAGGTAATGAATTATATCGATGACAGTTTTGAAAACATTACTTGACATTGATTGTGCGAACGAATCCTATTTTTCATTTCACATGAATAGAGCAGAGAGACAAGTTGTTTTAAGAGTCATTCAATAAAATTACCTTATTTAGATTTTCAGTTATGATAACTGTTTAAGATAATTTATGTTTGGTGTATTATGAATAGTATTTTTAAGCCATTATAATTCAGTGTTTTTACCTTTAATAGTTTACATCGGGGATTAGCATCAGTCAGATAACCATTAAAACCCAAGATGTACTAAAAAGGTTTTTGTCCTAACGTGAAAGCCGATAACAGCTTTAATTCTAATTTATTTGTCTGAACTGTTTACAAGTCTCAAATAAAGGTTTAAAAAAATCATAGACTGAATAAACTCACAAACAAAAATCATTTTTCCATAACTTTGTAGTTTATTGTTTAGTTGTTTACTAAGTAACCAGAAGATTTCTAAAGCCTATGTAATCAACATCTTGAGTGTTCATTGTTGCTAAATGACTCTTTATTGATATGAAATAGAGTTGACTTATAGTTACTAGATTAATTAATGCTCAATTTTACACTTAGTCAACGTTCATTGTATTCGAAAAATATAGTTTTATTCATTATATCTTATATTTAATGAAATTAAATGAGTTCCTGTTATGCTACTTAAATCATTGTTACTGATATTTTACAACAACAAC